CTGCTTTCGCCCAGTGCGACATAATCAAGTTGTTAATTTATTGCCTGCATATACAGGGTGCGCCATCATTTATGTCGGTATGTAAACATTGAATATCTTTGAATATCTTCTTATTTAATTTGGTTCTGTACAATTTCTTGAACTGAGGTTTTCAACACTGGTCTACTCAAGTCAATCGGTTCACTAATGACAAAGCCATTCAATATTTACATACCGACATAAAAGACGGCGCACCCTGTATGTGCATACATATACCTATATATATATATATATACATATATATGTGTGTGTGTGTGTGGGAAAAGTGCATAACACACCGGAGAAAAATATATATGTTTCCTATCAAAATTCAGCTCATGGTTAGAACATACATTGCTTGCAAGTAAGCAAACATTAAACACTTTCAAAGTTTGTTAAAACAAAGAAATAGGCAGGTACTTGCACTATTTAAGGATACCTTTAAACGGCCTTACAACATTGTCTATTGTAGTTTGACTTCCCACTTGGATACTTACTGCCAAGGGCGCCAAAAAACTAAAATTTTGATTAAATATTGCACGATGCATTTAAAAAATAATTTATGATCAATGAAAAAAGCTTCAACAAATCCAACTCAGTTTCATCATTTTGATTTGGCTTGTTTTCTGGTGAAGTGGAGCTGTTTCGAGGAACTGAACTAATTGCAGCAATTTCACATTGCCCAGAAATTGGAGAGCACCCCCCACACATAAGCGTTTTATCCATACCCGCTGTAATTCTTGGAAACGTTTACCAAAATTGTCTCCCTCCTCATGTACAGTTGTAATCTCTGCCTGCGGCTGCTGTTATTGTTGCTGATGATTTGCCTCAGCTGTGTACAGCACACATTTTTTATGGTAGTGGATGCAGGGTATTTAAAAGTTGGTCCCCATTGTTGTGTCCTTCTCTTTACTCCCAAACTTAATCTTAAGTTTCCGCCATATTTTGTTGAAAATAGAATGTTGTTTCCGTTTAACAGTTTTCTATTAATAACTGATAATTACTGATTTGCATGAATAATGCTCCAATTTCTCGGAGTGTATTATGGCGTTACAGCAACTAGTTTGAGGGCCGTGGCACATACGATTTTTTTTTACTCTTGGCCATTGCCAGTTCGTGCATCCCGAAAGTGTTGCATACATTTTGCGGCTGCAACGTCAATGGACAATGGGCCTCGGACATTGGGCATTGGGTAATGGGAATGGGAGTGGGAATGGCACTGTTTCCTGTGAGCATTCTGCGCATTTCGATTCGTACACATAGAAAATTACACACACACACACACACACACATATATATACATACTTGTATACACGCTTGCAGAAACTGATGTCTGGCAAAAGTCAATTTGCCAAGGTTTGGTTCTTATTGCAATCGATGCCGCCTCGAGCTGCTGCCTTACAGATCGTAAATCTTTCCTTTGGCAGCTGGCAGCTGGTCAGGCCTGGGCACTGGACGATAGACACACGGACGGACCCTGGCCTTTTGTGCCACTGATGTTCAATTCGCGCGCTACTTTGTTCCAGCCCTGCCGAACTAACACAATCGCCAGGGAAATGGTAGAAATGGTTAAATGGAGAATACGACCTAGAAATGTGGCCTTGATATTTTAAAGATTTGTGAGCCTATCAACACAAGCAAACCGCGAAAACAACAACAATTTTGAGAATTAACCATCTAAAAATATATATATCTAAAAAAGGGATAAGATCATGATCCTCACCTTCATTAAGAGTTTTATTTGATTGCTAGACATAAAGAAGTTAAGAGTTGATTAAAAATTAATGTGCTTATTGTTTTATTTAATAAGTAAAAATATATTTATTTATTATCAAATATTTAGCTATAGCTACGAGGCTTTAAATTCAAATTTAAACTATAAATACTATATATGGCCAAGCAAGCATATGAATAGCTGGTGAATAAATTTAAAACTCTTGGGATATTAAATGCAGCCATAGATTTTCTATTTACCTGTAAAACTGTCTATATACTTGAAATATTTGCACCTAAAAAGTTGAAGAATTCTCGTTGACATCACTTCTTTTCAATGTCGTCAGGAAAAAATAATAAAAACAAATGTATCAGCAAATGAAATTGTGAAGCTCTCAACTATTTCTCCCTTCAAACACACATACATACATATGCTTTCACTACTCATGCGGAAGATCCTGCATAATTCAATGCTTAGAACTACAGGGTTTCACTCCCTTTTGACGTGTGTTTGTTTGTGTGCGTTAAATATTCATTTGGCCAAATTTGTAACCAGTTGAAAAATTGCCATACGTCCCATTACTCGAACACCGAACAACTTTGCAATGTTCCAGGCGATTGCCAAATGCTGACAGCCTTAAGTAATCTTCGGTAACATATGTTAGCATAGACTCGTACATATATACGTATATATCCTCCTGTGGATGCCAATTGTTCCAGTGCTACAGCTATGGACGGCATTGTGCCAGCATTTTGTGTCTGGTTTTTTGTTTGTTACATTTTTTTTCAATTCACCTGTTACAGACATACTTACTAGAGTTTGTAAATCAAAGCATAGTATTAGAACTTTGTTTTTGTGATAAAATTTACGACTTTAGAAAATAAAAATGTCGGAACTCGTTTACTTAAAGGGGTGCGTAATTATTTGTATAATTTTGGATGTGTTGCTCACCACTCTTTTCTATAAAAATTAATTTCTGAGTAATTATTGGACGCTCTAAACTTTTTCGTAAACATATATTCACGACATCGCGAAGCTGCTATAACGAAAACATCCCACTAATTAATGCACACATAACTTTCTTATGTCCATATGTCAAAAATATTTTCCCCACTAGAAATAGCCTTTAACTGATTTTGTTGTACTTAATGAAGTACGCTATATGCTCCAAAATCGGATTATCCATTAACCAAAGCATATAACAACATTAATTTGTGATTAAATATTTTTGTGAGCTTCCATAAATACTAAGTACTAAGTTTGATAAATCTCTTCTTCTAAATAATTTATAGTAATTCTTAGGCTAGTCTAAGTCCGTCTGTAATCTCCATTCTTATCACATAAGAACTGCCACAGAGCAAGACAAATAAATACATTCTTTAGAATACACTTGTAGCAAAGGATGACAGCATTATTATAAATAATTTCATAGATTGTCTATTGCAATACAGTTTTCACCCATTATCGGGTTGAATTTTCTATGAGTTTTGCTTAAATTTGAGTTTTTCAATAAAAAAAAAAGGAAAAATATTTAAATTGCACAAACTTCTAAATGAAATCATATTTTGCATCGTATTAAATTATACAAACTTCTACATGAAATCATATTTTGCATCGTATGATTTAAAACATACCCACCATTAATGCGACACAGTTTTCTCCCCCTTTAGGGTTGAATTTTCTAAGAGTCTTGTGGCAATTTCAGCTTTCCATTTGAAAGAAAAAAGTAGAAGAAAAATGTTCAAATAACTGACAATCTTATACAAACTTTCTTATGTTTGAGCGGTCATAGTTAGGATTAAATGAAAGCATATATTGCCTGCTGGTTTCGCGTTTAAAATATACCCAACATTAATGCACTTGGCCGTATTATAATTAAACAAGAGCAGAGTAATGCGCATTTTGCTCAACAATTTCAAGGTTAATTAAAATTGCAATTCAATTTGTTGGCGTGCCATTAACGGAAACGTCAGCGGCTGCACGCCGCTCATACGTAATTACAAATATAGTCATTGACAATACCAATGGCAGTCAGTACCACACACACTACCACACTAGCAATACCAACAATCATTGACTATAGTATGTCTTTATGTACGCATGTATATATATATGTGTGTGTGTGTGCGATAAGTATGGCAGTCAATATTTGCCAACTCATTCGCTTAAAACTCAATTTCTCTTCATTAAATCAACATCAGCCAAAAGAACTTGCCATCGATGTCACATGATATACGAGGACGAGTACGGGTACTGGGTCCTGAGAAGGAAAAAAAGAAGAGGAAGAGCAAGCAGAAGCAACAACAACAACAATAACAGCAAGGGCCAGTTAGCAATTTGCGCTACATTTTGCCAACGGGCAGAAAATGTGAGAGGGCAGGATCTGTGTGGTGGATGGGGTTGGGACTGGTCTGGATTGGATTGGATTGGGCAGATGACTGTCTAGCTGGCTGCTCCCTAGAGTACGGCGCATTTTCCTCAAGCGAACTGGAGCGCAACAAAACACAAGAGTAATTTGTTGTTGTTGTTGTGGTTGTTGCTGTTGCGATTGCTGTTGCAGTTGCAGAGCGCAAGTGAGAATGCATCATTAGTGGAGGAAAGCGACAACGCGATGCCCAACGCACACACACATTAAGCTCACAGAAGGATACCCAACTGTGATATGGGAATAGGAGAACAGTGGAGATGCCTTAGAAAAGTATGAAGTATTAAAAAAAAAATGAAAAGAAAAAAAATAAAAAATGTAGATTTGGTGGTAAAAGAAATAGCTTGCACGATCAGTCCATGAAGCTTCAATAAGTAACTCGGGAGATGTTATAAGAAATTAGAAATAGGAAAAATTATAGATTTAATATAAGTAGTATATATATCTATGATATACTTATATTATTTGATTGTGTGTCCCAGCTGGGGAGTTGCGCTTAGGCAGTCTCTGCTGTAGATCCCAGCCATGCAGTGAGCCGGGACAGGCATCCAGTGAGTCAGTCAGTCAGTCAGTTAGTTAGTTGGGCAGTCAGTCAGTCAGACAGTCAGTTTGGAGACCACTGAAAGAGTTGCAACTGAGCCACAAGCAAAGCAAGCGAAACCATGTGGCAAATGAGGCTAAAACACAAGTGTCGTCAGCGTCGCCAGCATCGCCATATCGTTGTGTCGAGTGGCAGTGATGGATGGAAACTACGACGAGCGACACTTGCCACACGCCACATGCCACTAACCGCATGGCTGCTGCAAATCAGCACAACACCATGGAATTGATATGAGCGTTGAATACGCAGTTCGTTTCGTTTATTTCTCCCGCTTCAGGGCCAAGCTACAAACAAATGAAACTTGATGGGAAGGAAGTGTGTGCAACGTTCTTTCTGCCATCTCTGGCCTAAGTTGCTCCTCTATCTGGCCATGCTTGAGTTATTGCCGGTTGGTCGTAAGGTCGAAGAACTTCAATGACTCCGCCTTTGCCTATTGGGCAACATGTGCGCCGAATATTTGGACCGACAAGTTGGGGGTAGCGTTGAAGCGGATATAACTATAGCCATGGACTTACTTGTCAGCACCTCGTAGTGAATGTCATTCACAACCTCCGCATAGCAATAGCGTGTCTCATACTCGGGCCTCACAGGTTTCAGCGCAATATCAACACAATTCACATAGACCGTCGCCACGCCGACCAATAACGCAATTTTGTAGGCAATCTTTATATCTGTACTCCAAATGAGAACTTGTGTATAGTCCAGTGGCTCCAGTGCCATGTCCAACTCCGTATAGAATAAGCGCAGAGTGACGAGAGTGCTGGGATCATTGGTTCTCAGATAAGTCCTCGTCACCAACTCAAAGACATTAACTAGCAGATCAGCATCCCTAAGCTTGTTGTGTGTGCAGCCAATATCCTCGGGTGTGATGCCATTGCGCACAGCCTCCAGGAAGCTATTATACAAGTGTCCATGCACAAAAACTGTGTCCACTGTGTCCATCCAGGCGTGCGGCTCCTTTATGCTCCGCAGCAAAGGCTCTATTGCACTCGTCAAGTCGCACTTCTCATAAATAATGAGCAGACTCTTTAACTCGCACTCTTCTTTAGTGCTAGCCATGACTGGGTTCGATGCGATTGTGGGAAAGTGGGAAAGTGTTCGGATATATAAGTAGTATGTAATTATTAACAGTTTTGACGCGTTTGAGTATTTTCTGTAGATATGCTTGACAGTCAGGCCTAAGTTCGTTAAATGGACAGCATTTGTATTGGAAGATAAGCAATATTAGTGATACCAACATATGTATGTAATAAAAGGAACAATCTGTAGTGGGTCTAGTCAGCTTTAAAGATGCGTATTATGTGCTGATTTAAATAAATGGAATATGAATAGTGCCTGTGAAAGCTATAGAGTAATGTGATTTTGAAAGAATTAGTGAATTGTTATTCATCTTCTATTGTTTCCCCCGAACGGCAATGGTTTGAACCTTTGTGATTGGAAATATCGCTAAACAAAATATGGCGCTGGCACGTCAGAAAATTGCATCAGAAATCAGTTGAAACCGTTCTGTTCCAAGTATTGCAAGCAATGCGAAAATGTTGAACATAATTATTCTTTATTGGGTATATTGAAAGCTAAAAATAGGTGTAAATGATGAATCTGTGCTGAAGAGAATGTTTTAAATAAACAAAATATGGCGCTGGCACATCAGAAAATTGTATCAGAAATCAGTTGAAACCGTTCTATTCTAAGTATTGCAAGCAATGCGAAATTGCGAAAAATTCTTTATTGTCTTTATCGAAAGCTTTTTTTTTTTGATTTACTGCTACTGCTTTCAGTTTACTTATGTGCAGTTTTGTAAATAGTTGTAGCATTTTAAAATAAAACACAATACTAAAAAGATAGAAGATATTTTGACATCTTATGGAGATTTAAGGTGGATTAGCCAGTCCTTTTAATGAGCTGAATCGATTGGCTGTGGCTTAATCAATCGTTCGATTAAGAGACCATTTAATGAGGTCAGAAAATGAATGAAATAAATTATGCTCATATATTTGTCCCTTACTTCCTTAACTCTACAATACTTATGAATAGTTAGTTTGCGGGTTAAGGTGATTTCCTGGAAACTGTACGAATGGTTTGCTGAACTAAGCTCACTATCCTGTTTCAGGTCATTTTTCGGGACATTTTCGGTCTGTTTTTTCTTTTTACTTTTTTTTTTTGTAGTTTCTTTACAAAATGTGTCGCTAAGGAATGTTTTAACACATTTTTGTTAGTGTAGCATTTTCAATCAAATTCGACTGTGTGCTTGGGGGAAAAACTCCCGAATATTCATGAGAAACTTAACACTGAACTGAGCTCGAGCTTGAGGCGTGAAGATTGGCGGTAAGTATTTCAGTCAGCAGAAGTGTGGCATTGCTTTTAGCCAAAGTTTGCCACTGATTTGTTTAGTCACACATACGCGCACAAGCTCACGTGTGCAAGCGCAAATGTAGACATGCACACACATGCGCACGCCTCTCTCTGCGCTTCTCAAACCAAAGCTGCAAACAAAATGTGCACACTGCAAAAATAGTTCAAGTGGCTGGCTGCAACATTTCACACGCACAGAGCAACCAAAGCACTTAACACGGTATTTCCAATGCTGGGGGGTGCAGCCACTATGCCACCACCTCCCCCATATACCCTACATGTGCAGGCATGTGCCATATAGTCGCGATTTTTGCAATGAGTTTCACTTAACTTTTGCGTCACTTAAATGTAATTTGTGAACTTTTCGGTGCTGCCGCTGCCGCTGCATCTGCCTCTGTGCTGTGCTGTGCTGTGTGTGTGTGGATGTGTGTTTGAATTATTGCTGTAGTTGTTGCAATTGCTGTTGTTGTAGTTGTTGTGCGCCTGCAGGGCGTTCAATTGCTTTGCTCTGCACCCACTTTGAGTGCATTTCGCTGTAATCAAGCGCACTCGAAGCGCCTAAGCCTCCTCGAGCCCTTTTCCTTCTCATTCTGCTGCTGCTGTTGCTGCTCCGTGTGATCCGTTCGTTGTGGTTGTTGTTCAATGATGTTGCTGCAATTTTTGTTGTTTGTGTTGCTGGGGTTGTGGGTGAGTGAGGGGGGGAGGTACTTTCATGTATTTCAGCATTTCATCATTTGTTGCAACTTTTGCCCTTTTTAGCCAGCAAAAAATTTGTTGCTTTTGTTTTGCGATTTGTGTTGGTCGGAGGATGAGGAGGAAGAGCGCTGCGCCTACAACGCCAAACTTTTTCCCACGTACAGTTAGTTCTGCAGCGTTTGTTGGCGTTGCCACTCTGTTGCCACTTTTGTTGTTGTTGTTGCTGTTATTGCTGTTGTTTTGTGCCTGTTAGGCGTCGTTGCCATCATTTGAAGTGGCCTTTTAATGCAGCCGCTTAGCGCTCTTCTCATTGCTTTTGTAGAGTACTGTTTCTTGTTGCTGCTGCTGTTGACAACAATGTTTATTATTTATTTATTTGCCACCCAATTCTCTTTGCGTGTGTGTGTGTGTGTGTGTGACCCAGTTGGCATCTACACTTCAGTTATATAGTAGTATGTATGTATATATACTGACCCAATTTAAGGAACGCCCTTCTCCGTTTGTTCTACACGCCCATCTTGATAGCACTGGGACAGCATTCAGCAAATGTCAAACGTTTCTATTATTCTCCCACAGTCACAGTTCATATCAGGAAAAAAGAACAACAGACCGACCACACACAACAATCAAGCTACTACAACAATTCCCAATTCAACAATTTCTCTGTACGACTCGAGAATTTCAATTCGAAATAATATATACTTATATAGAAATGGATCATCGGCGCCGTCGCAACGCTGTCTTCTACGATCCCAACAATCTGACCAATGCAGTTTCGAATTCGCGGGAATTCCCACACGACTCCTCCGCCTCGGAGAACGAGTGTGATGAGAGTGTTCAGTATATGGATGAGAAGTTTCGTGAGTGGCGTGAAAGCTTGTTGCGTAATCGTGCCGCATTTAACGCATATGAACGCGAACGTCGTGATATTTCGAATACGGTAAGTGATCTGTGAAATTGTGTGGAGAGCTGACAGTTAATGGTATATGGCCTCGGAAGCTCAAGGAGATTGTTCAGGATGTAAAGAAGTTGCGCAAAGCCATTGGCGATGACATTCTAAATGCTCCCGATGTGGAAACAAGACCACAACCACAACCACTGCCACAACCACAACCACAAGCCCAACCACAACCACAACCAATGCCTCAGTTAATGCCGCAGCCCGCAGAATTGAAGCCATTGATTGATGTGCAGGCAGGCGGCGACAATGGCCAGCAGCAGCATATGATGTATCATAGGTGAGTCCTGGGAGTGTGTTTACTTAAGCAAAAGAGGGTTTGTCGTGTAGAGGAGTCCTTCATGAAGAAACCGACCAAAGACTACGAAGAGATCGGGGTTTGCTGGAAGGGATTTACGACGAAGTGATCATTAATTAATTTCATAATTAGGAAATTGAGAGCATTGTCATGCTCATAATTATTCAATCAATCAGAGCACTAAAGTAATTTCCTCTGCAGCGAATTGATGCGTCAGCATCTGGCAGAGAAGGAACTCTACGAGCACCAACTGTTGAAGCAACAGATGCATCGGGAACTGCAAATAAAGCTTAGGGAATGGCGTCGTCCGCAGATGGAGCTTGAACCGGAAATGCCGGAGCCGGTTTGGAAGCCAGAACTGCAGGAGCATGATTGGGAGCCACAACAGCAAGAGCATGATTGGGAGCCAGAAATGGAGTTCGAGCCGCTGCAGGAGCAAGAAATGCCAAACGTAGCTGACAAGTACAGAGAACGCAAGACTGGCGGCAAAGGACATGGGAAGAGTAAGCGCTCCTTGCGTTGCAGCATTTGCTGAAGAAAACCAGTTCAGATACCGCAGTTATATGTCTATATATATTTTGTTATTATTCCACAGCGTTTCACGTTTACGAGTCAGCGTGGCGCTAAAATTCAAAGCATCAATTAAAACAGATGTAAAAAAAGATCAAAAATAAAAAAAGTACAAAAAATTTCAATTACAAGACTTCAAGTCTGTCGAAATTCTTCAAGTGATACCAATGGACATTACCGTGGCTAGCATGATCAATCCTCATCCCATTGTGGACGAGCATGGTCAGCCGCAGAGCGATGGCGGCCAGACTGTAAACAACAGCGTCTTCCTCACGCAACTGCGCCAAACGGGCGCCTATCGCGCCCAAATGGAGCGCCAGCACAGTCGTAGTCGCCTACAGTCCGAAAATAGTGTTCTCCAAGACCTGGTAAGGCATTGGCCGTACTTCCTAACACACGACAATTTATGAATTGCTTTCAAAGATGCTCGAGGCAGCCGAGCAGCAAGCGCTTAAATCTAAGCTGCCGGAGACTGCAGAGAGCCAAAGCAGCAGTAAAGTCAACAGAGAGGCACACATAGCTGATGAGTCGGAAGCATCCAATGATGAGGGCTGGCAATGGCAAAATTTCTTGGGCGCCATGACATGCTTCTTGTCGGGCATGACCATTGCTTGTCTGGGCGGTATGTTGCACAGGATCTGAGAAATCCCTTTTTAAAGCGGCAGGGCATTATGTACTGGTATATTTAAGAATAAAGACCCTTTTAATTTTTGCGGTATGTTGAGAAATTAGTTAGAAATACGAAGCATTCATTGCCTTGGGAAGAAAGATCTCTCTATATACGGGTATTTGATGGAATCTCCAAAAAACTATTGAAATAGTAACAAAGCCACAGATAGACTTCTTGACTGACTTCTTGATCGGGCACATTTTCAAGAAGCAATCAAAAACAAACGAATATAAATAGAGTTCTCACCATGCTTGTAAGTATGTAACTAGTCTTCATTCTGAAGAAACTAGAAATAGTTTCAGATCAACAAGTCTTTTAATTTCATGAGTGTTAGTTCTCTCAATCGTATCGAGTGCGTAGGCAAACATAAATTTATGATAAGCTAGACCACTTACTATACAATTAGTGATATAGTTAATGACAAGAACTCGATAAGAAACACAGACATGCATTCTAACGAGCTAATAAAGAATTCGACCTAGACTGCCGAGCAGCCGAGCGTAGCTAAAAAAAAGCCATCTCAGGAAAACGACCTAAGAAAAACGATTATAGTATGTAGAAGCTAGCATTAGAACTACGATAAGAATTGATTTATAAATAAAGCCGTCGAGCTATGCATTCATAAAACTTAATGCTCGCACCAATCCTACTCTTTTGAAATCAATATCTAAAGCTGCGGTCATATTTCCAGAGAAACCCATTGAACTTAACACGTACTCGTATGTAATTAAAACAATTTTCAATTACAGAAATTCGGTTTTATATTTTCTTTCAATGTGCTATTTTTTATATACAAGTATATTTTGTTTTATAAAAGAAAAGAAATTGGACTCATTTGTTCGCAAATTATTTGCCCCTCCCACCCTAACATAATGAAGTGAAGGATTTTTTGTGTCGCTTTCCTGAAACTTGCCATCAAATTAATGGCTTTTGTCTCTGAAGCTGGTCCCACTCGTTCTAAGTAGTGTTCTAGAAAAGTTCTGTCACTCTGTAATTGTGTCGCCCAGAAAGCATTGTCTAATTAGCCCCCCTAGCGCGATGAATGGATGGCACTCTGAAGGGAGATCTGAGGAGCCACGCCCAGGCCAACCAATCAGCTGACCAAACGCCCATGGCAACAAAAAAATAAAATAAAACAGAACTTCTATGACAATTACACAAAACAGGGGGGAAAAGGGGGAAAAAGAAGTAGATTATGTTTATTGTTCTGCCGGCGGGGAGACAATGCGCCATAAATGCAGGACCCTGGCGCCGGCAGGGGTGATGATTGACAGGAAACAACACCAACAAGTTGTACAAAGCATAAAAGAGAAAGCGGCTTCAATTCCAAACTCAAACTCAAAGCCAAAGCCCAACCTCTGCTGCAAATGCTGCTGTTGGTGTTGGTGTTGTATGTGTTGAATTAAGTTCCATTGTGCCGCAATAGACAATGCAGTTGGCAGTCAGGCAGGCTTATGCATTGAAATGCTGCATGCCCCTGAGCCCGTGAGCTCCCCACCACCAGCCACCAGCCAGCATCCACCCTCCACCCTCCACTGATGGCAGTGGCAGCGTTTAAAAAACTGCCTGCCAGCAGGGGCTATCTACCTGCCACCATCCCCCTTACACTCGCGTTGCCACTTCTAGCGGAAGTTTGCACACTTTTGCTTACAAAGCGTAAAAAATTTGTATGAATGTGGCGGCGAACCCGACGACGATGACGACGACGTTGGATGGATGGATGGATGGATGGATGCACTGCAGCAGTGGCTGTGCTCTCAGATAAAGCGCAGGGCGAGGGAGGGAGGGGGTGCTAGAGAAATTCTGTGCAAATAGTTGCCGACCTGCAACCTGCAACCTCCACCCCCCAGCCCCTCAGCCCCTCATCAGCTCGCGTCCTTCACCAAACACTTTTCAATAGCCTTTCAGTTGGCTGGCTGGCTGGTAAGCGCTGGCGGGGATGCGGACGTTGCGGGGTCGGGGATGATGTTGGGGACGGGAACGAAATGGTTGGTTGGCAGGTGTTGTTGCCGCTGTTGTTCGGAAACACTACAAGTATAATGGCAACAACAAAGCCGCTTCCCTACCCCTCCACATCCCTACACCCTTCCCCAGCTGCTCCTGCTGCCTTGTAGCAAAAGTAATTCAATTTGACTTTTTGTTTTGATGCTGCCAAGTTGGATGGCTGCACAACAACAACAACAACAACGATAACGACAAGAAAAAAGTTTAACATTGCCCGGCAAGTTTTGGTTTGGTGGGGGGGTGGTCGGGGAGGGGCGGGGCATAACTATTGCATTGTATAAACTGCACTCGAGAGCTTGTGGCCAACAGCGTCAATTGATTTAGCCATTGAGTATTGCGAGCGATGCGCATCTGCAGCCAGATCCTGTTCACAACTTGTTGGCCCACTACTTTTCATTATAATGCACACACATACACAAACATATGTCCTACACACTCACACACACACCCACACATATGTGTAAATGCCACTGTAGGAGAGTTGTGCGCGTGACAATAAAAATGCGCTCACGATCAAGCATTTTTTTGCTGCCATTCTTATTAATTTTGAAGAGTTTTTTTAAATTACAGATTTTATGAACAGCTTTTAATTATTTTGATTTAAATAACTAAACAACATTTAATAAATGTCTAAAGGCAACTTTAAAATACTTGTAATCAAATTTCATTAATAAATTATAGTTCTTTTACAATTCCACAATATCTTCATTAATGTATCCAATAAAATAAATTTATTATAATAATTCATACTACTTTTTAAGTTAAGTTTAAGGCCACTTCGCTATAGCTTGGACTACCATAGCCTATCTGTAATTTTAATTACCTTTAAGGTGGATATAAAAATAAATAATCAAATAAATTCTTTAATAAGGTGAATAAATAAATTAATAAATACATAAAAAATATTTTAAAAATAAATATCAACGAATATTTAATGCAATGCCCAGCCCGATAAAAAATTTTATTTTACGCACTTGTTGGAAAGTTTCCATGGATCTAACACGAAGTCTTTCAATTTTTGGTTGTCACTGTGGAAAACTTTGGAGACTGTTTGCAGTATTTCATACAATTTTTGAACTTACTCAATTCAATCAATGTGTCAATAGCTAATGCGATTAAGGATATGCTCTTTCTGTTGAGTATTTTTATAAGTTTTGTGAAAGATACGAATTTATTAATTAGTTCGATGGGTGTACTATATCGGTTCTTTAACATCATGAAGATTGTGTTTAGCGTTATAGTTTAACAATTATTTTAGTTAATTAATTTATTATCGTTGTGTTAAATGAATAGCATTTCAGAGATGTCTTCTTATTTCTTCTATTTGCTCTGATTTTGTGAATTTCGGTTACTCGTCACGAAAATCACGCACAGCTCTGCCCTCCACATCTGCTAATCAAATTTATATGCCACTAGAGTTTTGCCTCCAATATTTAGTGTCTTTAGTTGACAGTTTAGTCGGCCCCAAACTCCAATTTGGCAAACAAATACCGATGGAGTGCTACTGCATTATGAAAGCTTACTGCCAATGCCAAGTATTATTCACAAAATTGGAGCTAGATATGCAAGAGAAGGCAGCTGCAGTTATACTTAGCACTGCTGTTGAGTTCTTTACTGAAAAGTGTTGCTTTTGTAACGCCCGTAAGGAAGAAAATATTATGCATATATTAATGGTATTTATCCAATATTGTAGACTCTGCTGAGTCATAGGAAACTCGAGTTTATTTAACTTTTTTTCGCATTGTCTCGCCCAAGACCTTCATCTGGAAAAAATGTTTGAAATACACTAAGAGCATTTAAAAAATCATCACAGCTACTAAATCAAATTAAAGTGTAAGCCGAAAAATTATGAAAAAGAATATCGCCTCTATAAATTCGCATATAAATCATGAGTGTTAATAAAATATTGATGGGAACAAATTGCAAATGAATGGCTAAATGGCGTTTAATTAAATAGAATAATCGAATTTGGTAAAGAGTTCATAAATTATGATACATAAGAGATAAGTATGCTGCCATGGAATAATACATTTTCAAGCGACCGGCGACCGACCTATGGCCATAGAAATATGACTCGAGGCAATTGTTTGTTGATAATGAGCAGTTAACTTGCTCATTACTCCCTACCTCCATCCATCTACTTGTATGTTTCTCAGCACCAACGATTCGTTGCTACTCACTTCATATTAATTAGATAATAATTTCAGCAATTTGATGCCGCAAATGCCAAAAACACAAGAACAACACAAATTGCCAGCCACAAGAGCTTGCAACACCTTGGGCTAGCTTCGCATTCATTTGGAAACTTTTGTTGCCAAATATGATTTGTGGTCGAGGTGAGCTCTGCCTTTTGCCTGTTCTCTGTTGTCTGTTCTCAGCTGGCTTTGGTGTGGTCTGGTGTGGTGTGGTGTGGTGTGGAGAGGCGAGAGGGTGGAAGAGGAGACATGGCAAGCCGAACATAAAGCCATAAGCCAAATGAACAATTAAAGTAAGCCAGCGAGGCAGGCAGGAAGCAAGTGGAGCTGGCAAAGCAATATTACACAGCAATCTTGAGCTACGCAAACAAACAAAGTTTGGCTTGGACGCTGGCTCACACACACACAAACACACACACATACACTGCTGCCTGACACTTGCCGGGGCCACATAATTTTCAGCAAAATGTTGAAAAGTGGCAAGCAGCAGCTGCTCCTGCTACCAATGAAGAGATGAAGTGCCTTGCCAACAAAACACACACTAAATTTTCCTACAGTGGCCTTTTACTTTTACGAAAATTCTTTCCAAAACCAATAATTAGTTGCGCACGATAATTTCGTTGAAGGTCCCTCAAAATCAAAATTAAATCGTTAACAACTTTAGTTAATCTGATAAGCACTAGTTATTTTGTATTTTACTTTAATTCCATAAAGAAATCATATTTTGGCCTAAACTTATGCTAAGTGAACTATTCTTTAAAACGTCTCTGCTCTTATATGTTATAATTCTAATAATAATAATAATAATACAAAAATATGCTGAAGTTAGAGCTGCTATGTTAAATAACAACAATTTTCTCTG